GAGCCTGTTCACAGCCAGCTATGGCCTGGCCCCCTGACCTCCCAGGCCTTTGTCCCCTGTGCTCTCTGCACAATAGCAGGGGCTCCCAGGGCCCCAAACAGCTGCTGCAGCTGGAACAGTGACTTGCTGTGGGGCCAGGGGGATGGCCAGGGCCTCTGTCTGAGCCCATGTCACCCAGCTTGCTGAGCCCCTCCCTCCTCTCTGTCCCTCTGTCCCCAGAGCTCAAAGGAACTAGACACACAAGGTCTTCCTATCTAGAAACCCATAAGGCAACTGCAATCACCCTCTTCAACAAGCGAGGAAACCAGGGACCAGAGAGGTGAGGTAACTTGTCTGAGGACACACAGGCAGCAACAGCGTGGGAGCCCAGGTCTGAGAGCGTTCCAAGCCCCCTGCTGACTCTACAGCATCCAGCACCCAGGCATAGGGCAGCCCTTTTCCCAGCACACCTTATCCCCCTGGCCTCTGAGAGGTGTCCTCCTCCTCCTCCTCTGGACCCCATTGGCTCCTGAGCTTGGCACTCAAGACCCCCAGTTCCTCCTGGCTCATCACCCTTTTGACCTCTGCCCTTTGATAAGCTCCCCTGACTTTCCTCATCCATCCCACAGGGGCAAATCCACTCAGTCCTCAGAACCCAGAGTACCAGCCCCTCAGTGAGGAGCCCTCGACGGCCAGTCTCCCCTCCTCCCAGCCCCACACCAGTTCTGCCCAGGGTCCCAGCTGGCTGCGGGGAGGCTGTGGGCCCTCAGAGCTTTGCCACCTGACCATGGCCAGCACCTGGGTACCGTGGCCGGGCTGGACAACAGGAAGCAGGAGAGAGGCCAGGGAGCTGCCCATGCCCCCCCTTCTACCCTGACCTCATTCTGCTGGCTGTGTGACCTTGGGCAATGACATGCCTACCCTGTGCCCATTTCCTCCCTAGGAAAACGGGGATACCAACACCCTGGAAGGTACCCGACCACTGCCCTCTACCCAGGCACCATCACATTATTCCCGTCTGCTCCCCAACTAAGAGAGCAGCCCATGAGGTAGGTACCTATGGGTCAGGGCTGTGTCTTCTTGGCAGGTGACTCCGTCCCAAGGCCTCCACTTCCCCATCTCTAAAATGGCACTAACTCCGCCCACAGGAATGCCAGCTCCCCTTCAGCCTCCTGGCCTTTTGTTCGAGGCCCTCAGATGTCTCTGGCAACTGGGGAACCAATGGTCCAGGTGGAAGGAATCCATCCCCCCCCTTCTCAGCATCCCCCTCCCCCTCGGAACCCGCCTCCCCACCCCCAGCCCGGGCAGACTAAAATAGTCATTAGGCAGATTTCAAAAGATGTCAGTAGCTTATAATTATAGTCGACATCCTTCTGAGATAAAAGTGATTACCTTGGATGCAAATCACTTAGCAACCAATCAGGGCGGCGGGCGGTGCCCGCGGAGGTGACCGGCCGGCAGAGCCACGCAGCCCTCCTCCCCCGCGCCCGCACAGGCGGGGAAAGCGCACAATAGCTCTTGACACGCAAATGGGTTAACACAATAAAGGCGGCTCCGGCCGCTGCCAGGGGAGAGCCGCAATTCCCGGGCCCGCGGGAGGTAATAAAGCGGCCCTTTTGTGCGCGCCTCCTCGTTCTCACCCCCGCCCGGGCCCAGAGGAGTCACCGCCTGATTGAATTACGGTTCATGAATATGAGCTGCTAGCTCGCCTCCTGGCTGGGAGGGAAGGGAGGCAGGGGAGCCTGGGGAGGCCCCGGCTGGGCCCCAGCCCGGCCAGAACTCAGATGGGAGCCACGTGTGCGCACCACGTGGGGGCCCCCCGGGTGACTTGAGGTGCCCTGGTGCAGAGCAGGCCAGAAGGGAAGGTAGGTGCCTGCCTTGGGCTGAAGCCTACCACCTTTCACTGGGAGAGTCATGCAAGGCCCTGTTCTGAGGATAAAGCTAAGAGGAGCCATGAGGCTGTGCATTTATGGAGCGCTTGCTGCATGCTGCAGCCTGTACTAAGCCCTCAGTTGAATCCTCATCATGACCCTCCGCAGTGGGTGCTGTTAGCAGCTGCTGCTCACAGAAGAGGAAACGAACTCAGAGGCAATGCTACTCACCCAAGGTCACACAGTCAGCAAGTGCAGGGCACAGTTCCTGGGAGCCACTGCTCACCAGGGAGCCTCAGGTTTCTCTACAAGGGGTGTAAGCAAACGGGCCTGGCCCAGTTCAGGTCCTGGTCCAGAGCAACCCGGAGGCTCAGAGGACCATGGAGGCGCTTATGCGGAATTAGCCAAGTGAGAAGGATTACTGGGGACGGGATGGGAAGCCAACCTTGAGAGGAGATTGCCCAGAGGACCAAGGAGAGCTCCCTTTCTGACCCAAAGGATGTCCAGGATGACGGTCCCTGTGGAGGGAGCCTTCCCTGCTTAAACCTCCCCTGTGACCCGAGCTCCAGGACACACCTCCTGGCCACCAGGTCCCCCACTGAGCTCAGCAGGCTCAGGGCCCACAGGCATCTCGCTGCTCCCAGCCCGTCCCACTGACTGGAGCAGCCCTAGGGGTCCTTTTGGAGACTCATATGGCACCCACTCCACGGGGCCCCTCCCACTCTTGTGCTAGGTGTCCCTGCTGTCTGCATCCCTGCCTCCCCACCGGCTCCACCCACCAACAGGGTCCCTGCGATGGCTGAGGGTGGCCTCACCACCCAGGGCTGGAGAGGGCTCCGGGGGGTTAGGGAGCCAGGCCACCTACAAGGCCCAGGGCATAAGCTGCCATTCTGCCCAACACTGGCCTGCAGGTTAGGGGGAACCAGGATTGAAACCTGGGTTTTGGTGTGGACAGGGCATCCTGGTGGAGCCAGCCTCCCTCCATTACCAAGAGCTCCTAATTCTTGCACGGACCCCTTTCCAGCAAGCAGGGGAAGCTCCCCTGGACCCATGCAAGAGGGCGGGGAGGTCCTGGAGATCTGGAGCCAGGGCAATTCAGGGCCAAACCTCTGCAGCTACCTGGCTGAGCACCTGTAGACCATCCCTTTCTTGATTTGAGCCTTAGTTTCCTCATCTATCAAATGGGCCATAGCTCATAAGCCACTTCAAGGAGATCCTGGAGCAAAATGCCTGGCCCACAGGGAGACTCCGGAGAAGCCGGTACTCCCCACCCCGTTCCTCGTCTGGCACCGACTGCCAAGCCCAGGGAGCCAAGGGAAGGGAACAGAAGGAATTGCCCAATTCTGACAGCCCTTCCCTCCGCCTTGGCTGAGGAAGTGTAAATACTCGACGGAGGGCCTCCAACTGCCTGTTTGTGGATCTCTGGCGCACACTCTGAGTTTGTTTCTAAACTGGGAAGCGTCGAGAGGCAGTGCAAACAGCCCTTCTGCCCACATCTCCCCCAATCTGCTATTGCTCCTCTGTCCTCTGAAGCTTGTGTGTTTAACGACACCATTTCAGCTGGAAATACCATCTCCCTGCCAAGCCCCCCAAAGCAGTTCCGCCAGTATTTATTAGACCTGTTAATCTGGCCAGAGAGTCTGGTAGGAGAGCAGGGGAAATGCTCACTGCACAGAGACAGGGGCCTCTCTTCTAAGAATGGCCCCCCACATACCCTTCTGGGCTCTCACCCCGCCCCACACCGATGAAGCAATGACACGGTTTTCAAACCTTTTCCTAGAAATGTGGTCACAGCAGTTGCGCCCACAGCCGACGCTGGCAGTGGGTCATGGGAGGGAAGGGACACGGGAGAATCTCAGAGCCCCCAGCAGGAAGCTGGCTGGGGGTTCTCCAGGTCTTTGCAAACTACAGGGCCAGTGGGGGGGGGGAGGGGAAAACAGGTGGGTGCCCTCTGCTCATCATTGGCCCTGGCAGAGACAGATTCAGACCTTAACACTGACTTGCCCTCCGTTCACGTAATGAGCATCAATCACACTAGGCTTGTCAAAATCATCTTAAACACCAAAGGGAGCGTGGGACAGGCTGGGCCAAGCCCTTTCCCTTGGGGTTGGACAGCAGGGGATCCCCTGGCCTTGGAGCATGGCAGGCAGCGGCTCCTCTGCACCTTCCCTGGCTGGGAGCAGGCATTCACATTTTCCTGAGCGGAAGTGGCCTGTTGGAAGGCTGAGGGCCCGCATTTCTCTAGGGACCCCGAGAGCTTTAGCCTGCTGGCTAGGTATATGGTGGGGTTCAGGGAGGCCTCCTCTTCAGCATCTTGTTTGAAAGCAGAAGTTACTCTATCTGGGAGTCCCAAACCCCCAGGCACTGCCAGTCTACATGGGCAAAGTTCTAAATACCTGTCCTTGGAGGGAGGAGCATCAGCAGGGACAGCTGGCACGGTCTCCCTCCCCCACTTCATGTGGTGGCTGGGGATTTAGGTCAAAAGACTGCTAGGATGGGGGAGTCAGCCTTTACCTCTCCACTACCCAAAGGCATCTGGCCCTGCTTCCTCCAGCTTTGGGTCAAGGCAAGTCTCATTGCCATGACCACTCCAGTGACATCAGAGGCTGGGCAGTGACGTCTCCTCCCAGGGCCACTGAACACCAGGTCTCTCTGCAAGTTATTTATTGGAACACTTGCCAGAATGGTGGGAACCCTACTGTCCGTCCACAGAGGGCAAAATCTTCTATGTAGCCACCGTGGCCAGGACCTCATACCTCACTTCTGATCCTCCCTTTTAAGATCTCAGACGATGCTGTGGAGACCCTCAATGCTGTCCCAACCTGGGTGCCCCCTCATTTCCTCCAAGACGCGGGAGTTCCCCAGGAATTTTCAGACATTGGAGCCACTACCTTTGTCTGTTAGCTTTATGGGTGGAGTGACCTTTCCTCTCTGGCATCTGCACTACCTTAGTCCCGGGGGACACCAGGGGACCCCAGCCTCCACTCAAATCAGCTGACCAGTCCAAACAAGTTGTGGGTGGAAGGGAAAGGGACAGGCAAGGGGCGCAGCGCCCCCAACAATATAGGTCTCCTTTAGGTCTAGTCGGGCTGCCCTGATACCAAGAGAAGCCCCCAGCTCTAGCCCGGAATCCGGCCCCTCGCAACTCACCCGATCAGCCAGGGGGTCGTAGGGCACCCGGTCTCAGCGGCCTCTACGCTCCACTAGACAGGTTGCAGCCATGCAGAGGTGGCAGAGGCTGCCCGAGGAAGCCCCGCTCGGGAGCCGATGCTTCTCTCCGGGTGGGAAGGGACGCTGTCGGTGAGAGCTATCCAGACTCAGGAGTGCGCCGTCCGAAGTCGGGGCTGGGAGGTTCTCTGCTCAGCGAGGGTCGCTTTCGCCCGGGACCCGGGCCGCAAGGGCGCTCAGGCTGCGCATCCTCGCCGGAGTCTGTGCTCGCCGCGTCCGGCGGGAGGCGCTGCGCCTCCCCTCGGGGCCCCGCTCACCTCTGCAGCTCGCCCCGCGCTGCTCCCAGGGCGCCCTCTCCGTCCGCGCAGGGAGCCGGGCGGCCGCGGCCCCTCTCGCCAGCCCCAGCTGCAGCCTGTCTTTGTTGCTTCCTCTCGCTCGCCCGCCCGCCCGCCGCTCGCAGCCCCCGGGTTCGCCGGGGGGTGGGGGTGGGGTCGTCTCCTCCCGGGATTGCACGCACCTGCAGCGGCCCCGGTTCCTCGCCAGGCATGCACCGGCCCCCGCAGGCTGCAAAGAGCAGCGGCGAGAATGCACGGGCCCCTCCTCCTCCGGCTCCCGGCCCCGGGTGTGGGGGGAGGGGAAGCCGGGGAGCAGCGGTGGCGGGCGGCAGCGGGTGTCGGAGGCTTGGATGCAGCCTCAGGGGCCTCGGCGCCAAGGAATAGCAAGTCCAGGTGGCGCAGGGCGGAAGCGGAGACGGCCCGGGGGACTCTGCAGCTAGCGTGCGAGCTCGCGAACTGCAGCAGGGGCGGCGCGCGCCGGGTTCTCACGCGCCCATGGCCCGGGGCGCCGCGCGGGGGCTCCCGGGGCCGCAGCCTCGCGCAGCCTAGTGCGCGCGGGCGTCTCGCCTTGCTTCAGGGCCGGGTGCCGCGCGCCGCGCCCCGCAGGCGGCGGGCCCGGCTCTCCGCCTTCCCCGGCCGGCGCGCGCAGCCTCTCGGCGGAGGTGCCGGCCCGGCACTTCTGCCCGCTGCTCCGCTGTGGCCCGACTGACAGGCGCGAGCGCCGGCGGCCGCCGCAGCGTCTCGCCCCCGGCCCGCCCCCCGCATCCCAGCCCAATCAGCGGGGGCCAAGAGGCGGTTACCACGGTGACGCGGCGCAGCGTCCTCCAGGGGGCGGGGCCGAGGGGCGCCACGCGCGCTTTTCGCGGCAAAATTCAAAGGCCGGCAGGGCGGCTCTCCAACCTCCTCCCCCAAGCTGGGACAAGGCGGGACCTGCCTCTCGAGGACTGCAACTCCCGGCGTGCAGCGCGCTAACACTGGGTGGAGGGGACCCGACTAGGGGCTCAGGGCATGCTGGTACTTGTAGTCCCTTTGTCAAGGAACCTGGCATGGAAAAACTAATTACCATTTATAGAGCTCATATTTGAGGCAAGACTCTATACTAAGTACATTATCTGCATTGTTTAATTTAACCTTGGGAACAACCCTATGAGGAATGTGTTAAAAATAATCACAAAAAGTGTCAGGAGGGTAGCTCAATGGTACAGCATAGGTGTAGGTCCTGGTGGGCAAGGTCCTGGGTTCAATCCCCAGCACTGACACTAATATCAATCAGTAACAGTAACTACCACACTTACATAGCACGATACATACTTATTCCTCACAATCGTCTGAGATAGGTATTACCACGCCCATTTTACAGATGAGAAAACTGATATGGTAGGCATTGTGATCATACTCCCAACTTATAGAAGAAACTGAGGTCATGAGATGCAAAGTGTCCTTAAATTTTTTTTATCAGGGCACAATTTGGGCAGTGTTGGATTTTTGGCCTCAGAGCTGAGGTCTGTGGAGCATTAACTGCATACACAATATGCAGTGAGCTGAGCTCTTTAGCTCAGCTCTTTATAAACTATGCATCCTGGATTCTTTTCTTTTTGTACTCTTTGCTCTTTTCTTTCTTTGCATTTTTTGAGAGGGAGTTTTGCTTTGGTGCCCAGGCTGCTCTCAAGCTACATACAGGGCTCAAGCCATCCATTCTGCCTCAGCCCCTCTGGTGCCTGGGCTATGGATGTGTGCCATCACCTTGGCAGGGCCCTGGTATTCTCTTTCACTTGACAGACTAGGAAACCAAAGCACAGAGTCACGTCAACCTGAGGTCCAAATTTGGGTCTGTCAAACTCTGCAGTGGTTTTCACTTTCTAAGTGGCTGCGTAAGTCCTGACCTGGTCTGCCTGATAGCTACGCATGGCCTGTATAAAACTGACTCCCACTTACAGATGGAGAAACTGAGTCCTGGGAGGGGCAGATCTATGGGTTGCTAAGTGTCCACCACACCAGCAAGTTGGGGGCAGGGGTGACACTCGGCAGAGTACCACAGAACCCAAGTGGGATTCAAGCCCTGCCCATTCTAGCTGTCAGCTTGGACCATTTATCTTCATGGCTCCGTGTCTCCGTTTCTTGTCTGCAAAATAGGGGGGGGGGGCGATAGGATATCTTAATTCTCACCGTATAAACTTGTGATGAAGTCGAAATGAATTATTGCATGCAAAGGACACTAGAAGTGCTTAATAAATGCCAGCAGGGATCTTCCATTTTGGAGGGCCAGGGAGTGTATCCAGCAGGACGTGCTGATTACAATGGGGCCCTAGCCTACTTTCAGGACTCATCCCGCACCTGCCTAGAACCCGCCAGGGACCTCGGAGGCCGGCCCAAGTAGGCCACCCACCACCTTATCTAGGCCAGGAGCCGCCACGCATGCGGTTTCCAGCTCCTGGCCCCGTGCCCCGCTCTATTTCTCCGCGGCCGCCCCCCACCCACCCTGGCCACCCTCAGTGCGGGCAGGGGTTGGGGGCGGGGATTTACCTGGAAATGTGATCCGACCTCCAGCGGCTCCAGGTCCCGGCCACCTGCCAGAGCTGCCTTGACGTCGGGGCCCGTAGCCTGGCAACTGGCTGGGTGGACCCAGGGCGTGGACAGGTAGGGGGACCCGATTCAAGCTGCGGACAGGAGGAGGAGGAGGGACACTGTCAACCAAAACCTGGAAAGAAAAAGAGCCGGAAGGGCCTCACCCTCATCTTTCCAAAGTTTGGGATTTTTTTTTTTTTCCTGTTGTAGGTCACTATGACTTGACAGACACACTAGGTGCTGGGTGTGTGTTCCGTGCTATTTACGTAACATACTCCCGTCTCCTTTGACTCTTGCAGCAAACTTGTAAGGGACGTTAGATTATTAGTCAGAAGAAGGCCACCTGATTTGCCCAAGGTCACACAATGACAGAACTGGATCCCAAACACCAGTTCCCCGGACCTTGATTTATTGCATCCCGTGACAGCCACTAAGAGGACAAGATTCTCCTCTTTTCTAAACTTCAGTTTGCTTATCAGCCTTTCTGGGGGGTGGGTCAGTCGTTTCCAAAGGTCTCCCCAAGATTTCAAAGTGTAGACAGGGCTGACAACCAGGGATTCACAAAATCTGGAAGGACCCCCTTCTCTGAAGATTGGGGAGTCCATTTTGTGCTAATGGTGGGATTTTAGCTGGAAGGTAGCTACCTGGGTAGAGAGGTGTCTTCCAGTTGCCTCCCCCAGCCCCCAGGCAAGTGGATGCATCAGAAGAGGCTCCACCATGGGCCGACATTTATGCCCCCCAAACACACATTCACGGCCCCCCAATATACCTGCCTCCCTGAGGTTAGGGCCTCATGCCTTTGCTCTTGATTATGTCCAGTAATTCTGCATTGCTGGGCATGGTGACGCACACCTGTCATCCCAGCAGCTCAGGAGGCTGAGGCAGGAGGATCCCAAGTTCAAATCCAGCCTCAGCAAGAGTGAGGCCCTAAGCAGCTCAGTGAGACCCTGTCTCTAAATAAAATACCAAATAGGGCTGGGGATGGGGCTCGGTGGTCGAGTGCCAAAAAAAAAAAAGTACTTCTGCATTATGTGGTTGGAGACTGTTAATGTGCATCTGCCACAGTCCATGAAGCAGCCTGATCACTGACTCCAACAGGGGTCAAGAGGCCCCAGAAGGATAGGAAGGACGTCACTTGGTGCCCCAACACCAACCTTGCCAAAACATCTACCCAGGCTTCCGTGTGACTCTGGCACTTTGCACAGGGGTTCCCACCGTCTAGGAGGCGCCTCCGTCAGATTGCGACGAGGGCTCCGCTTCCTCTGGGAAGCCTTCCCTGACCACCACCTTCTTTCCTTCCAGAGGAGGAACATGAAGGAGAGGAGGGAGTGGAATAGATGGCCTGGGTCACCAGCCGTGTGACTCCCCCTCTCTGTGCCCAGTTTCCCCCATCGGTGAAGCAGGCTTGATTGCCACATAGGCACGGCTCTGGGGGGTGGTCTGGCGCCTGGCTTCCAGCCCTCCCACCTAGGGAGGCCTGGCACTGCCCAACCACGCCTGCTTATTCCTTTATCCATGTATTTCCTAAGAAACCACTTGGTGTCAGACACAGGGGATTCTACAGTGACCTGGTCCAAAAAAGAGGTCTTACGAAACTTCAGTGTCATGGGGACGTAGACAAGGAGACTAACCAGGGGTCATTCAGGGACCCAACCCAGCAGAAGACAGGTGATGTGGGGAAAGAGGTGTATCCCCGGCAGGGGACCTGCCCCTTCAAAGGCCTGGCACTCCAACTGAGGGACCCAGAGAGGTTCCCAAGAGCAGAGGGTCGGGGCTCCGAGGCTGAGCAGGGTCTCAGGAGAGCCAAGAGAGCCGGGGCTTGCTCCTGGTGGGGGACAGACCTGGCCCAGCCTCCCCCCGCCCCCGTCACCTCACCTGCCCTGGTAATCTAGGCCAGAGCCTGGAGGGAGCCGGCCCCATTGGTGCACACCACGCAGGTTGCTCAGAGATAATTTAATCAGAGCTATTAATAAGCAGGAAAGAAAGAGCTCTTTATGCTGCTCCCAGAGAAAAGGGGCACGTGTAACCTTGTCATCCACCAGCCCTGCCCCCCAGTGCCTGGAGCCCCTCTGGGGGCGGGGGCGGGCCTCCGGGGCTTGGGGACAAGAGACCAGGGGAGGAAAGGCAGTGGCGGGGGACTGAGGAGGCCCAGGCAGCCAGGGGGACGGACCCCTGCCACGGTTCCCACCCACAGCCCACCCGCACCCCCTCCAGCCACTGCAGCCTTCTCTGGGCTGTTTTGAGCTGTTGTACCATTTCCAATTCAAGGCCGGGGACAAACTGTTCCCTTCCTTCTGCTCTGGGCCCAGCAGGCCCAGCTGGGTGGCACCTCCTCAGAGAAGCCCTCCCTGATTACTCCCATCCGTGGTCTTTCCCTCAGCCATCTCCTCCTCCCTGGCCCTTGTTACCTCCCGAGCCCTTCTGGCTCGGCTCATTTTGGAGGTCTCCTTGTCTCGACTCCGTTCTGGAAGAGACTCTTGGTCATTTCTTCTCTGCAAGGTGTCCCGAACACCTTGCCCAGTTGCTGACACCTTGTAGGTTGTCGGAAAAGGTTCAGGGGGATCCAAGAGGAAGACAGGGGTGGGAACCTGGAAGTAGTGAGGGGTCCCTTCACCCTGGGAGACCCCTTCAGAGAATCCAGGAAACATTAAATGTCCCTCTTGTTTCATTGTGGGGAATCAGCGAGCCCAGAGAGGGGAAGGAACTTGTCTGAGGTCACACAGTGAGTGGGGGCCAGAGGTGGAACTTGAACCCAGAGTCTTTGGCAGGGGGCACAGAGTTCCATGTGAGCCCCATTTCAAACGCAGCTCAGGGGGGCGGTGCTGCCCTTGATTGGTGATGTCTGTCACGCATCTCGGACTAGAGATTCGAGAACCCGCAACTCAAGCGACGTATTCCTCTGTCTGTGTTTTTGAGTTTGAAAGAACCCC